AAAAAAAAAGCCGGAAGTGGCACTGTGGCTCAAGTGGTAGAGTGCTAGCCTTGAGCTGAAGAGCTGAGGGACAGCGCCCAGGCCCAGAGTTCAAGTTCCACGACCGGACCCAAAAAAAAAAAAAAAAGATAAATAGGGGAAATGAAGAATTACCAGAACTGAAAGGAGTCTGGATGGGTGAGTTTAAGCCATGTTATATTCAGACATATTGCAATAGCTCTTGGAAATTTCTGCCTTTGCAAACTTAGATTTTTTTCTTCTCTTGTCTTGCAAATGTGTTCTTTCAAGGGAGAAAATTACACTTAGGATTTATATGGATGCAAATATTTCGTGTCCCAGACTCCTAACATAGAATAGTCATGGTAACTCCATTAGGAGTTACTGAGGTGTGTGAACCTTAGACTTAGCAGGTAAAATCTGGCAGGCAAGGATAACAAGACTCTTGTGTATAAGCATTTCCTGAGGCGATTACTTCTTTATGGAAATGGGTAACCTCTTCCTTTCTCTAGAAATATTGTAGCAACCATACAAAAAAGAAGCTGCATGGATGTGACTCAGAAAAAAAAATGAACTTTTAATTTTGCTTGATATAAGACAGTGAATCGAGGCTCTTGAAACTCATTTTTAGCTCTTGTGATTATATAAGGTTCTTTGCTCTGGTCACTTCATCATCCATAGAATTGAAGCCAAAAGACCAAACCTAGCCTGTGAACTGAGGCAAGGTTTGGTTTTTGCCAGTAACCAACTTAAATACTGCAAAGGCCATGACAAAGCATTATTTTCAGACATGCCCATTGTGTCTTTACTGGCCCACCAGCTCTTTAGTATCTGATCTACTGTACCAGCCCTTGGCTGCTAGAATCACATTATCATTATTATTGGTGTTTTAAATTGTATTTTTATTATCTTTAGTTGTACAAAGGGTTATAATTCAACCTAGTTTAGGAGTATATTAGGTAAGTGCTCTACCACTGAGCTATATGCCCCAGCCATACGCCTTCTTTTTTAATTGGATTGTGAATTCTAAGAGTCTGGAGACATTTGATTCTGATTTCTAGCAAGTGCTTGCCACATAGTAGTTATTCATTTGCTAAATGAATAATGTTTAGGGAAAAAATAATCAAGAATTTACACCTGTCAGGTGTGGTGATTCATGCCTGTAATCCCAGATACTTTTGAAGCTGAGGCAGGAAGTTTGGGAGTTCAAGGTCAGCCAGGGCAATGTAGTAAGACCCTATTTTCACTTGATCTTAGTAGATCAATGAGAAGAGCAATGAGACCCTGTCTCAAAATGAGAATTAAAGATTTCACACTATGTCTCACAGTTGTAATCCCAGTTACTTGAGAGGCAGAAGAGAATTAATTTGAGACCAGCCCTCAAACTGATTCTCTGAGAGATCACAGTTTGAGGAAAAAGAACAGCAATAGCAAAAACAAAAAGAGACCTATCTGAAAAATAACTAGAGCTATAAAAGGCTTAGAACGCGGTTAAAGTGGTAGAGTGCCAGCCCAGTCTGAGACCTGAGTTCAAACCCCACTATCAAACAAATGAATGAATGAATGAATGGTGATGTGACTCAATGGTGGAGTGCTTGCCTAGCATACAAAAGGATTTTTGTTCATTTCCCAGTTCCAAAACCAAACAAATGAACAAACAAAACCCCATAACAGCAAGAGTTTTCATCTTTCTAGGTCATAAGCAATTAGAACAATGCAGGGAGAAGTATGCAATCTTTGTCTTCAGTTAATTTCTTTTTAATTTTATTGCTGTGAACAGGCCCCAAACTATTCTAGATTTTGTTTAGGTGAGTATAGATGGTGGTAAATGAGGGGTAGAAAAAGGATAGATTTCACCATTTAGAATCAAAGAGCTAAGCTGCAAGAAAAGGTCATGGCCCATGACAGTAGAAACTATTGTAAGAGTTACATGGCTCTCAGGCACATATTTAACTGATTACCAGGATAATTAAGAAAAAAAAATCTTTTAGGGGAGTTTTTTGCCTAGGAGGGAAGCAAGATTTACTCTAGTAGTATCTTCATTTTCATTCATAAATTTTGTGGGGTAAGTGTAAATGTTTCTTTTTATGATGTGCATTGTTTGTTCTTGGAAACAGAATCTCATTATGTAGTTCAGGCTGGCCTGGAACTGGCAGTGGTTCAGACTGGCATCGTACTTAATGATCATCTCGTTTCAGTCTCCTAACTGGGTGAACTGGAATTATAGGGGTTCACTATCATGCCTGGCTATGATATACACATTTATTTCCTATTGGTATTTTTTGCTGATGTATAGAGTTTATTTTTCCTTTACAGATGAACACAGGCTTCACAGTGGCAAGCTCTGTCTGATTATCCTTACCTGTATTGCAGAGGTAGGTCTCACCTGTCTTCTGGTACTAACTAATCTCTTACAGAATGTTATCTTCTTGTCAATTCCCTTGTATTTTATTACTTTTCGGTCCTAAATCTTGTGAGAGAACTTTTTCCCCCTTTGTACTGTTTTAATCCTTCTAGAATACAAACTCTGATAGCAGGGGCTTTTGTCTCCTTCATTATTGTGTTCTCATTGTCTGATACAAGTGTGGGTTCAATCAGCATTTACTAGATAATAATAAATTGTGATATGATAGTGATAAAATAACTGCTGTAGTTGAAAACTGGAAGATTCTGGCTCTTCAAAATTTTAAACAAGAGACCTAAAACTCTTTGGAAAATAGTCTTTTCCTCTTGAAGCTGCTCATGTGGGGTCTTTTGTATTTAGGGGAAAAAAAAAAGAGATCAGGTTTCTTGGTGGTGGGGATGTGGAGTAAAACTGATTGCATTTTGGCAGACAATAAGAGCTGAGGGTAAAAACAGTGGTGCTTTAGCTTTATGAGAAGGCATTTGGAGATGGAGTAATTAGATTCAAACTTACACTGCATCTTGGTGACATACAAGTGTGGTAGAACTGGAGCCAATTTAGAACTAAATTTATAGCTTCAACCTCCTCTTTCGGTATTCTTAACTCTTACACTTCCGTCCCCCTTTTATGTTCTCTCTGGGAAGGTGACCTCATTTCCACAAGGCTAGGGACAGCTGGTTATAGAAGAGCTGCTTATTAGCAATGGGACTGATATAATTGCTTTTCAAAAATCTTTCTAAGAAAAACCTTTGAAGGAATTGCTTCCCACAAATTGTAACAGTTCCTAGTAATTGGAGACTGTAGGCATGTCAGATCTTCAGAAAGGTGTTGGGAAAGGGCCACCCATTATATTTATTGCCAGTTCATGATGAGGTTTTGATTTTCCATCATTCTTCAGCAAGGCCAGGGATAGACATGGTCTTGCTTCTTCTATGCTGCCTATGTAGCCATTTTCTCTTGCTGTGCTGAGCTCATTCCTAGCAGAGCACAGATCTTTCTTTTTATTTCTAGTTTCATGTGGAGCCCAGACATGGGCCCTTCAGCCCCTATGAAAACCTTTAAGCTGTTAAAAATACAGCTGACTCCTTGGGCAGATGGAAAGAAAGAGGGAGTAGGAAAACAGATTCCTCTCATCATTTGCCACAAGTCCCTAGGTCTTAATATTTTGTCTTTAAGTTTCATAGAAATTTTTGACTAGCTAATGATATGTTGGGAAACTGTGCCCAAATAAAATGATTTGCCTTAAGTAAGGTTTGACATGAAGGTTCTACACTTAATTCATTACCTTTCTAATTGAAAGTACAACATATATGGGAAGTATGATAGATTACAGACTTGAGTTTCTTATCTATAGTTCTCACTCCTCATTTTTCTGTGTTTTTTATTAGGATCAGTATGCCAATGCATTTTTACATGATGACAACATGAATTTTCGAGTAAACTTACATAGAATGGTAGGTGTGACTTTTGCTTGTTTTTTCTTAGGGAATCTTGGGTCTTTCTTTTTTTGGTGTTGGAAGAGTTGGGATGAAATTGGGAGAACAAATGCAAATGGGAAATTGTGCCAAAAAGATTCATGTGTGACTGCTATTCAACAGATCCATGCCTAGCCCTGGTTAATTTTTTGTGTGTCATAGAGCTGTTACTTGCCCAAGAGAGGTTAGAAAAATCCATAACTGCTGGGTGATGGTGGCTCATGCCTGTAATCCTAGCTACTCAGGAGGCTGAGATCTGAGGATCACGGTTCAAAGCCAGCCCGGGCAGGAAAGTCCGTGAAACTCTTATCTCCAATAAACACTCAGAAAACTGGAAGTGGCGCTGTAGCTCAAGTGGTAGAGTGCTAGCCTTGAGCTGAAGAGCTGAGGGACAGTGCTCAGGCCCATAGTTCAAGCCCCACTACTGACAAAAAAAAAAAATCCATAACTGTATGACCATTACAGTAATATTGTAATTCATCAGTAACATAAATTTCAACTAAGACATGGGTCTTTTGTTTTCAGAATATAGTATCATTATTTTAATTTAATTATTCCCTCACTTTTCTTTGTCTTTTTTTCCACCACTCCCTTTGATTCCACCACCCCTAATTGTAACGTTCATTTCCAACATAGTGTCTTGTGAGTGTCTGTTTCGTTAGTTCACCCTTTATCCTTTGTCTCACTATTTTATTGTTCTCTTCCCTTCCCCAAATCAGATAAACATATATACAAGACACAGGGTACCAAAATAAAAAACAATGACAACAGAAGATAAAACAAAGGAAAAACAAATGAAAGAAAAAAGAGAGCTGAGTGTGGTGGTTCATACCTGTAATCCTAGCTACTCAGGAGGCTGAGATCTGAGGATCGTGGTTCAAAGCCAGCCCAGGCAGGAAAGTCCATGAGACTCTTATCTCCAATAAGCCACTCAGAAAATTGAAAGTGGCACTGTGGTTCAAGTGGTAGAATGCGAGCCTTGAGCTAAAGAGCTGAGAGGGACAGTGCCCAGGCCCAGAGTTAAGCACCATAACCTACAAAGAAAAAAAGGAAATAACTTCACACAGTACATTAAAAACAACAACAAAGAAAAACCTCTTGTTTCCATATCTTGGCATAATATCATTTTTGATTGGCCAAAATGAGGTGCTGCTTTGATTTCTTCACCTGAGAGGTAGGGTAAATAGAATATGGAAGGTCAGGTAATATCTTGAATGCTGGAGGTATATTGTTTAAAAATGTAGTAAAGTTTAAGTTTGAGACTTAACTTTTATTTTGCAGCCAGTACGATTTCTATTTCTGTAGCTGATACTATCATAACCTCTTGGTTTTCTAATTATTTTAATATCAAAGAAAAATCTAGTGTGCATTGTTTGTGTTAATAATTCCACTTCAGGGCTGGGATGTAGCTCAGTGGTAGAATGGCTTCCTTGAATATTGCAAAGCCCTGTTTAATTTCCAGCACCAAAGGGGTGGACAGTTAATATACAATATAGGTAAAATGAAAGAAAAACCATCAGCTCTCTTGTAGTTTACATCAATACCCTGTGGGCTATTCTCTTCTGTGAATTATATTTGTGTCACAGCCCTGCATTGATAACTTAGAAGCATTAACAAGGGACTGGGAAGGTGGCTCAGAGGTAAAGTGCTTGCCTCACATGCATGAGGCCCTGGGTTTGGTTCCTCAGTACCACATAAACAGAAAAAACAAAAAAGCCAGAAGTGGCGCTGTGGCTCAAGTGGTAGAATGCTAGCCTTGAGCTGAAGAGCTGAGGGACCGCTCCCAGGCCCATAGTTCAAGCCCCATGACTGACCAAAAAAAAAAGGAAGCATTAACAAGTCTTCTCTACCCTACCCTACCCTAACCACTAGAAAAAGGGAAAGAAAAAGTAGCATCTCTATATTAATTATTTTTTGCATGAGAAACATGATGATGAGCCATTGCCTATCAGTTGACATGTCTGCTAATTTCCTTTCTTTGTGTTTACATGAAGCCTATGAGACACAGGAAGAAGGCAGCAGACAAGAACCTTCCCTGCCGTCCTTTAGTGTGTGCAGTACTGGGTGAGTATCTTCAAAACTGACATTTTTCTGAGGTAATGGTAGGTTTTCACGATTAAGATTCTGGTTAATGTGCTTCTTCCTTAGAGAAGTTACTATTTATGTTTCTTCCTTGGCCCTAGGAACCATGATTATTGTTATGTTTGGCAAAGTAAACATAATGAATATAGAGTGCTCAATAAAATGGTAGTATTCAAAGAATAATCTTTCCAAATATACAAATGAGTATGTTTAAACTTGATACATGATTTAGCTTTGTTAAATACCTTACTCCTGATCAAGATTTCAATATCTTACCTTATTTCTTGGTCCAAATTGATGTATCAGGTAGTCAGCATTACAAAACTTCCCCTGAATAAATGAAGCTGAGATGGGGCTAACAGAGCTGACAGGTAGGGACTGTATTTTTAATAATTTTGACTGCTCAGAACTCAGCATATCCCTTAAAAGAATTAGCTGGAACTCTTAATCTCATTTTAACTTGGATATTCAGCCCTAGTCCCTAAGTCTACTTGATTTTAAAAGTAGTAATTAAGACTGTATAATAAACCTCTATTGACTCAAAGCCCCATGGACCATTTCAGCCAGTATCTGTCAAACAACGTGATAGTGAAATGGGATAGATTGACAGAGCTTTTACAGCTGAGTCTCCAGTTACATGGATATGATCCATAATTTCTTTTCTGCTTGTCTCATTGCTCTAGTCTCAGAATATGATTTCCCTCTGGCATTGTACTTAGTGCATTAGTGGTATGAAATACTTGTACAATGAAATTTCCCTTATATCTGGTTTATTGGCAGGTCTTCTGGAAGTAGGAGAGTTAAGTACTTATTAATTTCCAAGTAGCAAGTGATGAACAGTGTTGCAAAAAGTATCCTGTAAGGCTAGATGCTGGTGGCTCATGCTTGTAATCCTAGCTATTGAGGATGCTAAGATTTGAGGATCACAATTGGAAGCCAGACTGGGCAAGAAAAGCCCCGAGTCTCTCATCTCCAATTACCACCTAAAAGCTGGAATTGGAGCTTTAGCTCAGAATAGTAGAGCATTAGCTTTGAGCAAAAAAAGTTCAGAGATAGCACCCAGGCCCTGAATTCAAGCACCATGACCATCACCACCACCAACAAAACATGTCTTATACAAAATTAAGTGCTTGTTTAATACAGGTGTATGTAGTCAGCCCAGTACAAAGTATATAGTTTTCACAAATTTTTTTTCAACCCAGAGGCAAAGAATGAATTTTATTCTAATTTCTTTTCTTTCCTTTTTCAGACCTGATGGTAGAGTTTATTGTAACACATATGATGAAAGAGTTTCCTATGGATCTCTATGTGTAAGTACTATGATTTGTTACTGTTTAGTACAGTCTTGTCAGTTGTGGGGCTTGAAATATGGGCCTGGGTAACCTCCCTGAGCTCTTCAGCTCACAGTGAGTGTTCTACCACTTGAGCCACAGCACCACTTCCAGTTTTCTGGTGGTTAATTGGAGATAAGTGTCTCATGGACTTTACTGCCTGGGCTGGCTTTGAACCATGATCCTCAGATCTCAGCCTCTTGAGTAGTGTGAGTCATTGGTGCCCAGTGAGTATGTGAAAATATATTTTGAAGAACCAAGTGATAGGAAATTTTTGGTGCGAGTATGCTTTTTTTTTTTTTTTTGTCAGTCGTGGGGCCTGAACTCTGGGCCTGGGCGCTGTCCCGCAGTTCTTCAGCTGTAGACTAGCGCTCTACCACTTGAGCCTCAGCCCCACTTCTGGCTTTTTCTGCTTATGTGGTGCTGAGGAATCGAACTGAGGACCTCATGCATGCAAGGCAAGCATTCTACCACTAAGCCACTTTCCCCGCCCCCCTTTCCTTTCTTTAACTCTTTCTTCTTTTCTCTCTCTCTTTTTTTCTTAGTGTCATTCCTGGGATGTGAACTCTAGGGGGAAAAGGGAGGAGAATGCAGTAAATAATTCATTGTATATACCACAAAATTAAGAAAAATAAGGGAAGGAGTATGTCAAAGGAGGGTGAGAATGTAGAAGGTGTGATCAACATACATTAATTCATAAACTGCTTTGTTAAATGGTACCTCCTTTGTATAACTACTTAAAGATTAAACAAAAAATTTAGGTTTTAAGATTTTCTCTTTCCTTTGCTGTTTCTTTATTCTACTTCTCTTTAATACTCCAAAATAGCTGTGCTGTATCACTGTGATTCCAAATGTGTCTCCTTTTTTTCATTAAAAGCAGCTCAGTTAAATCTGACAATAGAATTCGTACCTCCACTTTTTGGGCAAGAAAGCATTTTGATTCACAGAAAGATTGCTTGGTTTGCCTTATTCCAGTACCAGGTCTAAGATTTAGAGAAGACTTACATGAATGGATCTCTAGTTTTCCTGATTATATATAGACTACATACAGTCTTTCTTTTTTTTTTTTTGTTGGTCGTGGGACTTGAACTCTGGGCCTGGGCGCTGTCCCTCAGCTCTTCAGCTCAAGGCGAGCACTCTACCACTTGAGCTACAGCTCCACTTCCGGTTTTCTGGTGGTTTATTGGAGATAGGAGTCTCAAGGTCTCTCCTGCCCGGGCTGGCTTTGAACCGCAATCCTCAGATCTCAGCCTCCTGAGTAGCTAGGATTACACGTGTGAGCCACCAGCGCCTGGCTACATACAGTCTTTCTAGGTCTAGAAAAACGACGTAAATTTTAGTTTTGAATAAGTAGGTTAGAGTTAACTTTTCCTTCCTTCCTTCCTTCCTTCCTTCCTTCCTTCCTTCCTTCCTTCCTTCCTTCCTTCCTCCTTCCTTCCTTTCTTTCTTTCTTTCTTTCTTTCTTTCTTTCTTTCTTTCTTTCTTTCTTTCTTGTTTAGAAGTAAATCTGAAGCCGGGCGCCAGTGGCTCATGGCTGTAATCCTAGCTACTCAGGAGGCTGAGATCTGAGGATACCAGTTCAAAGCCAGCCTGGGCAGGAAAGTCCATGAGACTCTTATCTCTAATAAGCCACTAGAAAACCGGAAGTGGCGCTGTAGCTCATGTGGTAAAGTGCTTGCCTTGAGCTGAAAAGCGCAGGGACACACCCAAGCCCAGAGTTCAAGCCCTACGACCAACCAAAAAAAAAAAAAAAAGAAGTAGAAGAAGTAAATCTGATCCTTATTTTTTTGCTGAAAGATAAAAGAAACAAATTAATTTTCTGCTTTTTTCTGGCCAGTTGTGGGGCTTGAACCCTCGGCCTGGGTGCTGTCCCTCAGCTCTTCAGCTCAAGGCAGACACTCTACTGCTTGAGCCCCAGTGCCATTTCTGGTTTTCTGGTGGTTAACTGGAGATAAGAGTCTCACAGACTTTCCTGCCTGGGCTGGCTTTGAACCACAATTCTCAGATCTTAGCTTCCTGAGGAATGGCATTAGCCACTGGCTCCTAGTTTGCTTATTTTAAATGGAGTCTCAGAACCTCAGTTCCTGCTTCACTGTTAATAGATTATCTTATGTTCTAGTTTAAAAAATTTTGTTGTTGTTATTTTTGTGTGTGTGCTGGTCTTGGGACTTGAACTCAGAGATAGGGTGTTGTCCCAGAGTTTGTTGTTTTTTGTTTTTGTTTTTTTTTCTCAAGGCTAGTGCTCTATCATTTCAGCCATAGCTCCATTTACAGCTTTTTTGGTAGTTAATTAGGAATACCAGTCTCATGAAATTTCCTGTCTGATCAGGCTTCAATCCACAATCCTCAGATCTTAGTCTCCTTAGTAGGTAGGATTATAGGCATGAACCACCAGTACATGACTATTTTTTTTGAGAGAGTCTTGCTTCTAAGTGTATTAGTTACATATTACTGTATAACAAACTAGCCCTCAACAAGTGGTTTAAAACAAATGTTCATTTGGTTTAGGAATCCAGCTCAACTGATATTTTTGGCATAGATTCTCTTACAGGGCTAACACTTTTTTTCCAGACAGGGTCTTATTAGGTAGCGCCAACTGACCTGTAACTTGCTATACAGTACAGGATAGCCTCAAGCTCATGATCCTTTTGCCTCAGCCTTCTGTGTGCTAACATTACAGGCTTGTGCCACTATATCTGGCTTATAGTCAAAAGTGTTAGCTGAGGCATTAGGCATCTTAAGAGTCTTCTGGGGCTGGAGAACCTACATTCAAGCAAAGTTAGTTTTTGTCAGGCCTCAATTCTTTGCCACCCATACCTCTTCATAGGGTTGCTCAACATGGCAACTTGCCTCTTCCAAAGCAGGTAATCCAAGAAATAAAGAAGTGTAAGAACCTCCAATGGAAGCCATAATATTTTTTTATAACCTAATTCTAAGTGACATGCTATTTCTTTTGATCACATGAATCAGTTCTTTTATATTACAAAGGAACTGTACAATGGTCTGGCTATGTCCTCTTCCAAAAACTTATATTTTGAAATTTAACCCAAGCTGGGCATGGGGGGCTCATGCCTGTAATCCTAGCTACTTAGGAGGCTGAGATCTTAGCATTCATGTTTGAAGCCCATGCTGGCAGGAAAGTCCATGAGACTCTCATCTCCAATAAACTACTTCAGAAAGTCCAGAAGCGGTGCTGTGGCTCAAATGGTAAAGTGCTAGCTTGGAGCAGAAGAAGCTCAAGGACAGAGCTTAGGCCTTGAGATCAAGCCCCAGGACTGGCAGAAAAAACCCTAATTCAAGTGTATAGGAAGGTGTATACTAAATCCAATTATAAAAGGACTAGAGCTTGAGATTGTCAGTTCACTTGTGTTCTCCCTTTACTCTTACCTCACTCTGTTCTTTCTATTTGTGTGTGAATGTATGTGAGTGCCCACATGCTCTTAGTCTTTCTACCTGTCATTATAGGGTGATACATAGAAGACTCTTGTCAGATGCGAGCACCTTGATTTTGGGCTTCCCAATTTCTAGAACCGTAAGAAGTGAATTCTTCCTTTAAAACTGCTCAGTCAGTACTATTCTATGTAAAAACACAAAACAGACTGAGACAAAGGCTATAAATACCAAGAGGTTAGGATTGTCAGGGCCATTTTGTGCACAGAAACCATAGTTGCACAGCTAGTAAATTGAATAACTGAGATTTAAACTCATATTCCTCATACTTTTGTAATAAGTAACAAAGGGAAGGTTTGTATAAAGTAACTATGTTGATGGGACATCAGATAAGATATTGAGAAAGATGTGTTTGACCTAAGTCATGAAGAAACCTTAGAGTTTTCTGTGTAGAGTGGTAGCATTGTGTGGGAACATGGTTTAGTGGTAGAGTGCTTTCCTAGCATGCATGAAGCCCTGGGTTCAATTGCTTAGTACCACATAAACAGAAAAAGCCCGAAGTGGCTCTGTAGCTCAAGTGGTAGAGTGCTAGACTTGAGCACAGAGAGGCGCAGGGATGATGCCTAGACCTTAGTTCAAGCCCTACGACTGGCCAAAAAAAAAAAAAAAAAAAAAGTGGTAGCCGGGCGCCTGTAATCCTAACTACTCAGGAGGCTGAGATCTGAGGATCACGTTTCAAAAGCCAGCCCAGGCAGGAAAGTCCTTGAGACTCTTATCTCCAATAAACCACTAGAAAGCCAGAAGTGGCAGTGTGGCTCAAGTGGTAGAGAGCTCTCTTTGAGCTGAAGAGCACAGGGATAGCACGCAGGTCCACAGTTCAAGCCCCATCACCGACAAAAAAAGAGTGGTGACGTGGTCCAGGATGGGATGACATAGCAGGTAGGGGACTAGCATGATCTGGGGCAGAGACTTGAAAATGTGCTGTTTTTTGTTGTTGTTGTCGTTGTTGTTGTTGTTGGTCGTGGGGCTTGAACTCTGTGCTTGGGCGCTGTCCCTCAGCTCTTCAGCTCAAGGTGAGCGCTCTACTGCTCAAGCCACAGCACCACTTCCGGTTTTATAGTGGTTTATTGGAGATAAGAGTCTCACAGACTTTTCTGCTTGGGCTGGCTTTGAAACATGATCCTCAGATCTCAGCCTCCTGTGTAGCTAGGATTATAGGAGTGAGCCACTGACACCTGGCAAAATGTGCTATTTTTGTAGAATATAAAGTAATTCTGGCCAGGCACTGGTGGTTTATGCCTGTTAATTCTAGCTACTCATGAGGCTGAGATTGAGAATTGTGGATCAAACCAGCCTGGGCAGGAAAGTCTGTGACTTTTTTTTTTTTTGGTTGTGGACTTGAACTCTGGGCCTGGGCACTGTCCCTCAGCTCTTCAGCTCAAGGCTAGCGCTCTACTACTTGAGCCATAGTGCCACTTTCGGTTTTCTGAATGGTTTATTGAAGATAAGAGTGTCACAGATTTTCCTCCCCGAGCTAGCTTTGAACCCCGATCCTCCTCCTCCTTTGAACTGCGATCCTCATCTTCCGA